GTTGCAAGGACTAATGAACACTGTGGAGCTCCATTGAGAAAAGAGCTATTTGAATACAATATATCATTACAAGATTAATATTAATTATAACTTTTATCCATTCATCAAATACAATGCCTGCCTTCCAATTGAAGGAAGGAAAGCTTCCTCAGCCACTCTTGCAGGAATGATAAGAAAGAAGGTGGGCTTTCCCCGTGCCTTCTCTTTGAATGCTAGGCTTTATGATACCTCCATTCATGCTTGCATTCCCTGTTCTTAGCCACGCTTCCCAGACTTGCTTCTGTAGTGATGGCATTACTTCTTTCAGGACCATCTTATGCATGACAGGAACAGAGACAGCTTGGTAGAAATATAACCTGTGTAGTTTCATAGAGCCCTGTGCACAGAAGAGCCCATATTTGCTGCCTCAAAGCTCATAGTTCATCTTGGAACTTGTGTTTTGCAAATGAATTTGGCTATTGGCCTGTCCCTTACTCTTTGCAGTGCTGAGAATTAAATATGGAGCCATGTCATTAACCAAGCATGCTATCGCTGAGTTACAGCCCCAGCCCTATTTGCTTACCCACTCTCTTCCTCTGATCCCTGGCATCCCAGAAACCATCCAACATCTTTCTTCCTCTTATCACCTATGACTACTGCTTCCCACCGTCTCCAACAGAGGCTAGACACAGGCACAAGAAAGATCTGAGTTGAGTGAGTGTGCTGTGCAAAGTCTTATGGTTGGGTACAGTTAAGAGCTATCCTTGCTTTGGGTAGACAAGGGTATGATATGGCAAACAGAGCCAGTGTCTCCATATGACAAATTTGTTTATCACTGTTCTAGTAGGCCTCCTATTGCTATGATAAAGGCTGTGAACAAAAGCTACTTGGGGAGGTAAGGGTTTATTTGGCTTCAAGTGATCACAGTCCATCACTGAGGGACTCTAAGACAAGAATTCAAGCATGGCAGGAACCTGGATGCTCTCCTCAAGCAGAGCATAATAAAATACTGCTGACAACCTTGTTCCCCACGGTTCTCTCAGCTTTCTTTTTAGGACCACCTACCATAACTGGGTGGGACCTACAACATCAATCATTAATCAAGAAAATACCCACACAGACTTGCCTACTGGCAATCTGATGGATGCATTTTCTCAATGAAGGCTCCTTCTTTCCAAATGACTAGTTTGTGTCAACCAGCATAACTTTTGACCTTAGTACCCAGCAGGTCCCAGGAAAGGGATAGCAGTACCCTTAGGACTCTATCTGTAAACCAAAGAGTCCTGTACTATGGGAAAATGTTTGCCTTGCCTTTCCCAGGTCAGGCATAGCACAACAACCTGCTGTAGGACTGGTTGCCAGTAGCTAGTGAGCTGTGTGCAGTCCTTTGGTCATAGGAAGCATCATCTCAAGTCTCTTAAAGGGTCTGTCCTCCCTTCTGGTATTTCTATGCCTGAAAGAACATGTCATTATGTGACACTCACCAAGCCATTTGCTAATTGAGTCAAAGGTATCAAAATAATTCAAAATGTTAGCAATGACGAAAGTAAGATGCAAGAACGTAGGCACTCTATGATCTTTGAAACTTTTCTGTTCATCTCAAAGTATTTTAAAAAAAGAACTTCAGGGTGAGAGGCCAGAGAATGCAGAAGGAAGGAAAACACCATGCTCTACCCCTTTGCTTCGTTTTAATCCAAAAGCCTTACACTTCCGTTTTGCCTCAAGCACTGCAAAATGTGTTGCAGATCTTTACTGAAAACACTCTTGCTGAAAGTACAGTTCTGCTCTCTTCCTCTTCTTCCTCCCACCATTGTCCTCCATGCTGGGACTTTGGGTTTCTTTGTTTGCCAGTACTAATTGCTGCTCCTTCCTGCTCACCTCCGTGCTCAGCACTGGCCTCTTTAATGAGCACTATCTCCCATCCTCTCATCTTTTCTCTTAATAATTTGAATACGCATGTCGTCCTTTTACATTTGTGGGACTTGGAAGTCTCAGATCCCACAGTAAGTGTTCAGAGAAAAAGCTGGTCTGCCTGGTTCTTACTGCAGCAATGGTGTTTCCTCACCACACTGCATGTAAGCTGTCCTGCCTTCAGGTGCAAAGGCTCTGCAAACAGCTTGGGCAGGCATTTTTGTTTTCGTCTGTAAAGGTGTCATCTGAGTGTCTCCTTGGGTCTGACCACTGGCTATTATGGTTCCAGGGCTACAAAGCTACAAGGTGGAGGCCAGTGCCTAGCTAGTTATAACCCTTACTAGCAAGTGTTAGTGCTGAGCTTGTTACAACCCTGAGTAACAAGTGTGAGGCCATCCCTCTCTCCCACTTGTATCTGTGCCCTCTGCCTTAGTTGTGACAAGCAGGGCATGGAGTCTTGACTGCAGGATAAGAATTTGGAAAATGTATGTATAGAGACAATGGTGTGAAGTTGCAAAAGGATTAATAAAAATATTTTATTTTATTTTTTTAAAGTTTATTTATTTATTATATGTAAGTACACTGTAAGCTGTCTTCAGACTCCATAAGAGGGCATCAGATTTCATCACAGATGGTTGTGAGCCACCATGTGGTTGCTGGGATTTGAACTCAGGACCTCCAGAAGAACAGTCGATGCTCTTAACCGCTGAGCCATCTCACCAGCCCAATAAAAATATTTTAATAAAAAATAAACAGCTATTATGAGGGGAAAAGAATTTGGAAAGTGACCAGTTTAACAGAATTTTAAGTGGAGCAGTCTGCTTTAAAAAATATTGTGGTTGGCCTGGGCCTGAAGAGGAAAAGACAAAGGCTCAAGATGCCACAGGATCTGTTTGTTAGGCAGGCACAAGCATCCCAGGATGCACCTACCACAGTACCAACACTGCACCCACTTGCAGAAATCAGGTACTGTGGTATATCTCTGAAGAGGCTGGCTTTTTGAAGTGCTTCTGCTGGCACAATTGTGTAGTTCCTATGTGAAGCTGGAATGGAAATCAGATCTCTTCTTCCTCTTCATGGAGAAATGTGCCTTGTACTATTTTATCTTACAGTCATTTTGCATATTTGTTGATTCCAACAGCTTTGAACAAACTCCTCCCCTTCTGGCTGGCTGAAAGTCTGGTCCCAGTTACAGAGGCTGCAGGTGGTGATGGTGAAAGGCACCAGGGCAGTGAAGGCCAAGCAGCTCGGAAGTGGTTGGACTTTTTCTTTTATTAGAGGCAGAGAGTGAGGTGGGAGGGTTCTGTCCCTTCAAGAAAAGCTTTCTTGAAGAAGTGTTCTTACAAACAAGGGAGGCAGGGGTATTCTGAGATGAGAGAGAGAGAGAGAGAGAGAGAGAGAGAGAGAGGAGAATCTTGGAGTTGAAACAGCATTGCAAAGGTAAAGAGGAAGAGAGGAGAGGCAAGGTATGTGCAAGTCTGACTTGAAATGAGTTTTATTGAAAACACCTAAATTCATGTCTGTGCTTTGAGGAGCGTGGAAAAGAAGGCGGAGGAAGCCACCTCCGGTGGTTTTGTGGGTTTTCAAGTATGACATACAGGATGTTGAGTTTTAACCCCTCTTTTACCATGAAGTGTGCGCAATACTGCAGGGATAAACAAATTCCTGACTCTGTGAACTGTGCATCTGTGGATAGGCCATTCTGTTTCCCTGGAATCACACTTCATTTCTTCCTCTTCCTGTGTCAGGTCTTTGATGCCACACACACAAAAGTCTTCGTATGACAAGTAAGGCTGTGTGGCCTTACTGAGGCTTCTCTGTAAACATGTTTGAAACCACTGTACAAGCATGCTAAAGCTGGCAGGCCTGCTGAATCTATCAGCGGCTGTTGTGTGCTTGTGTTTTGAAATGTGTGGTAATTAGCTGCTGTTCCTTAGTCTATGTGGGGAATCTGCCTGCTTTGTATATCTGAAGCTTCATTAATTCACCTAAAATTATAACATGAATTCAGTGTTTATTAACTTAGGTCTTAAGTCAATATCCTGAGGTATTTATTGAGACCCACAACGGTTGGCTATGGAATGACATGTCCTGGGAAGTGAAAAATAGTGTTCCAGTCAAGCCAGATATATGATCTTGAATGCACTGAGGTGTTTTTTTGGGGGGGGTTGTTTGTTTATTTATTTGGTTGGGATTTGTGGGGAGTTTTGTTTTGTATGGAACGCTTTGAGAATTTCCCAGAAAGCGATAAGTGAAGGAGACCCCCTAACATCAGTGAAAAGCCTCACATCTGGCTCCACCTGAAAGTCCGGTTCAGAGTTTCCCTGTGACCCTGGCACAACCAGAAGGGAAGTCTTGGCTTTGTTTATTATAACAAGAGCCACAAGACTCCCAGGCCAATAAACATGTTCACGTAAAACTCCAGACAGCTTCTCTAGACTGGAGTCTTATCATCAGGAGACCTCATTTTGCCTCTAGGTTAAGAAAGAGAGTTCATGAAGAGAAAGGAATAGTCTATGCCTTGGACTTGTCCGGGTCAGTGTTGCTGAGAGTTCACAGTGACCCACCTGAAGCATTTCCCCCCAGAATGAATGACTGCCCTGCCTGGGAACAGAACAGCCAAATAGTTGCCCCCACATGGCCATAGTGAGCCAGTTTCATTTAGAAGAAAAGGAAAGAGAGGGGAAAGCCTCCCTCATTTCTCCTCCGGACTGCAAACACTCAGAAATGACATCACACACCCCACAGAGCCCCAGGATGACTAAGGCAGAAGTAGCCTGAGAAAACTCTGCTCTGCCCCGAGTTTTAGGGCACAGTTATGCAGATGAGCGTCTGGGCGCAGGTTCCCGCCTTCTTCCTCTGAGGAAGTTTCTTGGTAGATCACTGACACCTCATCCCAGCGAGAGGGTGAAAACTTGGCACCGGCCACCCCACCCCCCTCCCGGGCAGAGCACCAGAAAGAGCTTGGAAGCAAGGAGTCGGCAAGCAAACAATGAAGGAGCAAGGGGGCACCGTCAGTGGCGCCGGGAGCAGCCGAGGCGGAGGAGACTCGGCTATGGCCAGCCTGCAGCCGCTGCAGCCTAACTACCTGTCTGTGTGTTTGTTTGCAGAAGAATCATATCAGAAACTAGCAATGGAGACACTGGAGGAACTAGACTGGTGCCTAGACCAGCTAGAGACCATCCAGACCTACCGCTCTGTCAGCGAGATGGCATCAAACAAGGTAAGGATACCCCTTTCTCTAACTACAACTGGAGCGCTAGGCAGCAGCTTGTCTGTTGACTTGGTCGAAGTGCGGTGCTTTCTTTGCTTCTACCTTACTACCACAGTAAGCTGAAACTTCTTAGTCCGTGTTAATGTCCAGAAACAAATTTCCGAATTTGTGCATTATCGAATATAAGTTAGAGGTATCTAAGTTGCTTTCAGATTGTTTTACAAATGTAAGTGCCTTTCTTTTTTTAAATAATGGTTTGTAGAAAATTAAAATCTGCCTGAGTCTTGCCACATTTTAATAGGTTCAGTAGACACGTGTTCAACGAGAAAGTAGGTCCATTACTTTTTTTTATGAGAGCACAATTTCCTTCAAGACTGACATTTTCTTGCTGGAAATAAGGGCATTTTGGGGATTTATAACACTTTGTTTGTGATGCTGACACGGTCTGAGGCTTAAAAAGAAGAAAAAAAGAAGAAAACAATGTACTTTACCTTCTGCTACAGAAAGTTGGGTTTTGTTTTGTTTTCCTAATTTTAAAGGTGAAAATCACCTAAAATTAAAATCCACCTATACCAAAGAGGAAAAAAAAAAAAACCCAAACCCTGATTTTACTTACAATATCCAGAAAAACAAAACAAAACTTGGTGTTGAGGAGCTTTAATTAACTGTCATTATCTCATTTGTTTAATTAACATCTGGACAGAGTGCTAATTTATATAGTGAGGGTTGGTGCTAGTTGTTTTCTGCTTGTTTACATGTTTTCATGCAGATTTTAACTATATGGATGTGTGTGTGCACAAGTGTGTGTGTTTGTGTGTGTGTGTGTGTGTGTGTCAGAAGTTGTGAAGTTATATATGTATCAACATAGGCGTACGTTAAGGGGAAGCCTTGCTTCTACTGTACCCCACAGAGTATACTTTCAAGGCTCCCTACAACTCTAGCTTGAGGGATTGTGCTATTGTTTGAGGCTGGAAGAGACTTTGTACCCCACCTACCCTTTCAGCCCAAGGTACATTCCTGATTGAACTTTCCCCCTTCCTTCCTGGGAGAAAAGCATCACTTTGGAACAGAGCTTGCTGACTCCTCTTCAAAGCACCATGGCAGAGGAAACAGGGCATCCTTAGATGCTGGTGTGTGTGTGTGTGTGGTGGTTGTAGGGTCCTTCTTACTCTGAAACTATAGACTGATCAGTAACAGAGTAGAAATGAGCCCTGTCTGAAATGTTAGCTCAGAGTTCAACTCAATGGAGAGCAAAGAAAGAGAACACACTGGGGTTTTAACTAGTATTTTCTGACTTCTCTCAAGCTGGGACTTTCCAGGTTGATGTAAAAACCAGCCGCTTCCCCATGTTGGGGGCTTCACTGTGTAACTTCTCCAAATCACTCTGGGATTTACATAGAATGTTTGACAGTGGCTTTCTTTGCTTGCCTCACAGCACCAGCAGCTGTGCTGTTGTGTTGTCTCTTATTTTGTGATATTTGATGCAACCTGTGGTAATTTTTTCACTGTGAAGGACATGAGTCTCTGGAGTCACCAAGATAAAGCAAGGGACTAACCAGAGAAGAGCCAGAGCAGACACTCTTCACATTGCCAATCGTTTGCATGCCATGTGTGTCTAGAGAGCTGCCCTTGTCCACTGACTAGCTTGCAAAGTTACTAAAAATGTTATCACTGAACATGAAAGGAGGCATGTATTAAGACCGAAGATTCTCAGTCCTTCAAGCTTCCACTCCTCCCTGACAATTGTCCGAGGCAGGAAGCAATGAAAGGTGACCAGAGCTAACACTGAAGAGACACCATGCAGTTAACTGAAGCGGAAGCATGCTGCCTCACCTGTTAACAAGGTCCCCAGTGGGAAGGTGACAGGGCAAAGCAGTTATGTGAGTAAGAGAATACCGATTTTAAGATCTTCCCACTGAGCTTCTTCCTTCACTGTTTGTCAGATGATTGTCTTGGGGTACGCTGAGCACAATAGCAAGGGAGTAATGTATAACATAACACACAATGAGACTATATTGTGACCACCAGAGAAAAGTTCATCAATATTAGCTGAGAAGGTGAGGCTAAGTTATGCACAATAAAATTTTTACCCTATATTAAAATTCAAATGTTAAAGCTATCTGAGAGTTCTGTGTAGTTGGAAAGATCCTCTTTGCTATCACTAAGTAGCCAAATTTGGTTGTACCTTGCTTACTCTTACTGAACAAAGGAGCCTCAGCAAAACTGAATTACAGAGCTGAGAGGGAGCATAAATATAACACGTTACAGAGGGTGGAAGGCTGTGAAGAGCATTGGAACTGGAGATGCATGGCTTAAATTCGGCCAGTCTCCCTTGTTCGCCATTTTATATGACCTTACTTAACAGTGAAGAGATTCTGTTTATAAAAGTGGGTCTCACCTCACAAGGTTTAGTGTACCCAAGCACTTAGCAAAGTGCCTGCCAGGAAGTAGGCATCCAGTGAGTGATCCCTTACTAATACCTACTTCACTGTTGCAAAATCAAATCTGTGTCCCTACTTGTGTTTCAGAGCTGACCCAAAGGCTATTGTTTACAAAGTCTGAACTTCACTTCAGAGTGCCAATGGCAAAGCCTCTGTCCTGTGAAGGGAGTGTAACTTGGTTACATGCGTGCCAGTCTGTGGAAAAGGTGAAGAGTTGCCTGTCTGGCAGGGGGAAAGCAAACTGCCTTTATGGTTTCTTACACCTGGACTGGGCAGTGCTTCCTTGCTTATTTATGAATGTCCTTGACTCATCTGTGGCCTAAAGAAATGGAGGGATTCAAAGGTAGAGCTGATTTTCCCTATACTTCTTCAGTCAGGTGGACAGGAATTATTCCTGTATCTAACAAAAACAGTCTTTGTCTTTGCCTCCATTTTCTTGATCCTTAAATATTAGCAATAGGTCAAATGACATTTCAAACTTTTAGAGTTACTTGGAGCCAGGTGACTTAGTGTTAAAGAGTATCTTCTTTTTCAAACTTAAAAAAAAAAAACCCAAAAAGTAAACATGGCAAGAAAATGAAACAGGTGAGCAGGAGCTTGAAAGACATGGGTGTGGTTTCTGGTGCTGGGAAGAAGGCCTGGACCCCTTAGTGAGCACTCCAAGTGAGCCGTTAGGCCTGTCAGCCAGCCCCTCTTACATTTGTACATTAATTGTTGTTTCGAGTTTCGTCAGCTCTCCTCACCTGGAAGAATTGTCTTTCCCTTCAGCAAAATGCGTTAGAGCATGAGTTCATCTGCCAAAAAAACAGCCTGCTGTTTCGAAAACAGGATGCCTGAGCTCTGCCCCAAAAAAAAGAGGAACGGAAAGAGAAACAGTATAGAAAGGAAGAAAGCAAACAGCCCCACAGGGATCCCCAGGCCAAGCGCAGCACAAACAGTGACCTCTCTTTCCGACCTTCACTATGGCTCAGTTCCTGAGCTCCTGTCACCAAAGCCAACCCACGTCATCAGAGGAGGATAGGAGGAATGGCACAGCTGCTGTGAGGGTGACTAGAATTTCCTGTCGCCTTCCTGACTGACACAGTCAGAGAAGTACAGGGTTGCAACAACAGTGGCTGAGGAAGGATGGGCCCAGAACAATCAATCCTAGGGAGGTGGGGCGGGACTGGGAAAAGATGGGAGGTGTTCCTTCCCACTTTGGACAGAGAAGCATAGTCTCTCATCCAGTATCTTCAGGTGAAAAGCATCCAAAGGTTTATTAGTACCTGGTATAGTGACTGTAGATAGAGAAGTATATTGTCATTTTCAACTGCAGCTATATTCAAATGATTAGTCACAGCCCCTGATAACCTCCAAACATCCTGCTGGGGGACATTTTTCTTTCTCTATCAGCTTTGCCTGGGATAGATTTGGACCCAGATGATGAAATTGGATGTTCTGGAATTGGAAAGTACAGTCTCAGATACCAAAGCTTCCTATGGACTAACAAGCTGGAATAGAGCACCTGAGTAAATGTTGGCTGAGGAAGCTCACCAACTGGGAGTGGGAGATAAATGGTACTCTCTTGAGGCATCCTGAAATCACATACAGATACCATCACTGGAGAAGTGAGTCCTCCTAGCTGCACAGGCTTATTTCTCCAGCTCCACTCTGAGAACCTGTACCAACTAATTGCCTAGGCTCTTGAAAGGGAGGGGCTCAAGTCACTCAATTTTACCAGCCTGGAGGCACTAGTAAACCTGAGTGTGTGATACTGGAAGACGGTCATGACCGAGGCAAGACAAATGCTCTAAAGTTGAGGGAAGTCACTTTCTGTATCCCTGAATAATCAATCAGTAACTTTGGGAAACACTGAGCCTAACAGAATTGAAAGGAAATAGATCTAATTGGCCAAGAGATGCATCTCGGAGCCCTATCAGAAAGGAAGCAGGTTATTGAAGGATTAATCGATGATAATGGTAAGAGAGGGGTTTCCCCTTAACAAAGCGGCCTTTTACAGGTCCCTAGGCTTGAAGGGAGCCTTAGTATGCTTTCCTCCAGCTGTGCAGAAGGGCTTCATCAGACCATAGAGATACATGCATTCCCTACTAGACCTCACTGTGCCTCTGGCCAGACTCCTCATTCTCTGCCCAAATGGCTCTTATTCATCTTCCCAGGGTCTCTGTGTGGATGTGCTTCCATGCAGCAGGTACACACTCTGAGGGCCCAGGCATAGATAGCCATGCGGCAGTGACAAGAACTGGGGAGAATGCATGTGTGTGTGGGGGGGGGGAGGAGTCACGAACACACAGGCTTCGGCAGAGGCTCGCACAAGCTTACCTGTGAGGTCCTGAGTGCTGGAACTAGGAGAGGGTAAGATATCATCCAAGTTGATGGAGGCTCAGCTCTAGTTGACCTTCGGTACTGTGATGGACTATCTGTCAAGTTAGCACTTTAGGAGAGAGCTTAAATTGCACTCTTAAGCATTTAAGCTTGTAGTATGCACCCTGACAAATGTTAGGGATGATCTTGCTCTAAAGCATAACGTGAACATTGGTTCTGACCAGCAGGAAGGGCGATGTGCATTCTTTGACCCAGTTTTCTCTCTTTACTAGCTCAGCCTAAAGTGAAGGAGCCTGAATATAAGCCACAAGTTTAAATTCTAGCTCTACCTTTACTGTGAATATTTGCCAGAGCAATTGAATCATTTAAAAATCTTTTCATTTCCTTATTATAAAGCAAAGTAGTTGGAAAAGATTATTTTTGTGGTTTACTTTAGGTCTTGAATTTATGTTGGTAGACAGCCAGTGTCTCACACAGGGGTAGATGGCGCATGCAGATATTTGGCTAAGTCCTTTACCCATATTCTTCATGAATATATAAATTCTTGGAAATAGGCACTATCTCCGGGTTGTTAAATTGGAATTTAGTAAAAATAACTTGATTAGCTTGAATAAAATCACCATGCCTGGAAATCAAGCTCATTAGGAGAGTGCTTGCAACCATTTGTGGGACTCTAAGATTCAACCCTAACTCAAATGTGTGCACGTGCGCGCGCACACACACACACACAAGGTTTTAATTCTTGGTGCTGAGGATATGACCCAGTGGTAGTATGCTTTAGACACATGAGGCTTTAGACTTGATGGGGCTGGGAGAGGATCATGGTCAGGATCCCAATGAGACAAATAAATGGAACCAGAAGGTGCTTAGTGATTCTTCCCCGTGAGCTTTGTAGCGTTTGGTTGGAAGTCTTATCCCTGTTGGTGAGGCCTGGTTCAGATTTCTAATGTTCAGTTACGTTGTTCTTGTAGCCTGGCCATTAATTTCAGACTCAATTTGGGCTGGGAAGTAGTCCTTCTGACACAGGTTAAGGGAGGACACTGTCAGAGTTCTAGAAAATGGTGGATGACTACTCATGAAAATGGAATTGTCAAGTATGTCTGTCAAAGTCAGACACATCCTTTGCTTCTTGTGGATTAGTGTGCAAAACTGCAGCTTTCTTAGTTTTCCCTAACTTAGCTTAAGATATGACAGTAAAAAGTTCTTTGAAGCTGAATTCCAAATTCCATTTTACACTGACTAGGCATCTTCTCCTTCCCTCCCCCAAATGAAAGATTTTGATTTTATTGTCATTCAGGAGGATGTCCTTCCCAATGCATAAAACAGAACATTCATTTCTCTGCAGCAGAGCTTCCTGGGCTGAGGGCTGCCCAGTTTCAGAGGGCTTTCTTAAATCATTGTCTTCAGAGATGCAAGAGAATATTTAGCTCATCAGTCTTTGTTTATTGTTGTTTAAATCATTCTTTCTGTAACAGAATACAGTTGTATTTTTTGATGCGATTCTGTATTTGAAATGCTACTCTTATGAAAGCGTAGCACATGAAAGAGTTTGGGGACTAGCACTTTGTAATAAATGTGATTAGTAGTGTTTCTGCTTAATCTAAATATTTCTACATTGGTATGTATATATAGGAGCCAGTTCCTTTACTGAATTCTGACCCAGTTTACCCAGGCTTTTGGTTAACTCACTTGCAATTTCTATAAGTGGGCAAATATCTCAAATAGAATTTCACTACTGTGTCACTCTGGCCAGCGATAGGAGAACACTATAGCTGTGGAGTCAACTATAAACCCTAAATAGCAGTTTTGAAATACTGCATTGCAGCAAGTTAATGAACTTAGCATTTGGTTTCCACGTTTTATTCTTCCCTGCCTTTGCGTGTTTGATCTTTTAGAATAACTCCCAGACTCCCTGCCCCACCAAGTTCCTTGCCATTGTTATCTATGGAAGTAAAGCCAGGGGTGAGGCTCATTCTTACACAATTCTTCCAAAATATTAAACTTCTAGGTGAAATGGGTTCAGCGGGCAAGGATCATTCACTGTTATAAAAACCAAAATATCCTACCAGAAAACGCCAGGGTACACCCATGCTGGTCGGTGGGGGTGCACTCCTGTCGGCAGCATGCCAGTTCTCTCTGTGCTGTCCTGTACAGACTCGCTTTCGCTCTTTTCTGGGACCTACCAGCCTCTTTCTGTCTTGCCCTCTGGCCCGTGATGTTTCCCTCAGCCGGTGCCAAACCATTTAATCTTTAGGAGATTCTGCTGTAACTTTCTTTGTTTGGTTTACTTTAAAGTAGCCAAATGTTCCACAAAGAAAGGACTGTTAAGTCACTTAAAAGTGAGGACAGTGGTCAGTCTTCCGTTCTTGTGTGCCCGTTTTGAAGATCACTGATAATCTTCTCTTCTTTATGGAGTAGGGAGTAGCATTTAAAGCTAGAAGCCATGCATGTCTGCTCAGCAATCATAATGCGTTCCTTTCCAAAAACAGTCGCAGAGTTAGGACAGAGGGCCGTGGAAGCCTGGAGCCCTCCCAGATTGAAGTGTGGCAAGTTTATTAAGATAAAAGTCACCTTCAAGGTAGACTCATTGTAATCTTCTAACATTTTAATTTAAAACATAGTAAATTTAAATTTTGCTGTTAAGAACCTTACAAGACCACATTACCCTTTCTTTGCAGTAGACTGTATACTATTATAACCTTGAACAAAGATGATATCAGAGTCCAGCTACTTAGAAGTTTTTAAAAGAAGATCAAACCAATATTTTTTTTTTTAAAAAAAAAGTAGATTTGAGACAAGAAGCATTGGCATCTAATACCTTAACAAAAAAAAAATCACTAAATAAAAATATCTTTCCAATTGAGTTAGATTGGCTGTGCTACACAGAGAAGCAAGTAAACTAAGTTTTGACCTGACAACTAATGTCCTTGGTCATTATAGATGGTGACATTTGGTAGATAGTTTCCAATTATAGTTTCACACAGTTGTACTAGGCACAATATTGCAACTTTCTGTCAAGAGGGGAATTTTAAAAGTCCTATTTATTTATTTACCTGACAGGGGAGATGCTATGGTCATGATGGTGATCTCAGGATGAAGGAGACTCATTTATTGCATTCTGAATGTGCAGACCCTTGTGAGTCCCCAAAGTGTAGGAAGGCTGATATGTAATTTGTGGTAGCAGAGGGATTGTGTTTATGTGCTGCTGTTACTTTCAGGAAAAAAAAACTAATTAAATATTATTTATTTGAAGTCATTTTACAGACAAGGAAACATTTTATAAATAAGGCCTATTTTCTTATCAATACAAAGTGAAGGTTAAATATCTAATACAATTTTTTAAACCTTTAAAAATACAAGGTGTAATTTCACTGAAAAGTAGTTTTATTGTGACTTGACTTCTCCAGAGTCAGAGGATCATGGGAAGATTATGGTGCTAAGATAGAGGTCTCACTTCAAATCCTATGGTAATCCTTCTTATTTCCTCCTCTGTTGGGAACTGAAGATGGCAAATTAGAGAGTTTACATACTGGTAAAATAGTCACCAGGCTGTGGATTCTTTCAGCTACGTAGCAGAGTGGCTAGCCAGCAGATTGATATGAAGGTGGGAATCCCAGGTTAACCTCTACTGCCCCTGCAATGTCTCTTTCCAATGAATGTCTCAACATAAAACTCTCATGGCTTAACTGAATTGCCCATTCTTGGGTCCTATTACCACAGTAGCGTTAGTTCAATTCTATTGGCGGCTGGCTGCTCACTGATAAACAGTGCCAGTGCTTGTAAGCATTTTGAGTCAGGTCAATCTCACTCAGAGAATACAGGCTTATTTTTGTTGTCAATGACCCACTCTGGCTCAAGATGAGTTCATTATTTATTAAAATTTAGAATAGTGAAGTAGATACTTTAAATACTCTGTAATAGATGTAAAGAAGTCATTATTATCTACTGTTCAAATTTGTTAAAATGAAGAAGTAGTTGGGGAAAATAAAGTGACTTAGAGAACTAGTTGTGCCAGTATAATGTTTATTAAGGAGAGATATTCCATGTTTGAAAGATCCCGACATGCTAATTTCTGCTCTTTTGATATTGACCCATTTCCAGCCATTATTTACATTATATAATGGGACAGAGTAAGGAGAAGCTTTTTAGCATATAGTATGTAAGAAATGAAAAGGAAACTACAAAGCCTCAAGTGAATAAAAACATTTGATGCTGAGGTTGCTGGGGAAAAAAAGGAAGACTTGAACTAAAAGCTAAAATACTTAAAAGGAGATTACACTGGAAGGAAACATGATAAAGAACCGAAATGCTCATTTTAGTACAGGAGAAAAATAGAGACAAATGACAGAAGACATACTAAAAGTTTACTAAGCCCGATTGGTCAACAGGGTGGCTTTCAAACTTCCTTTTTCCCCTTAACATCAGAACATCTGTTAAACTGTGGCTTCAGTGCAGCAGAGCTTGATCATCTCATGCAGATGAGTAAACGTTCTGTAAGCTTCTCTTGTCTTACATTACCCAGAAGACCCCCATTCTGTTCTCACACAGTCAAGGCTCTGTGCTATGAACCTCTCCTGTTACGCACAACCTTGCCTGTGTTTCTGCAGACCAGCCTCTTACTGTCCTGTCAGTTAGTATCACAGCTAGCCTTTGAGAGACCTGGCATTTGATATATTTCCAGTGTAGTTTCACTTGTCCACTTGAGTATGTGGAGCTAGGAACCTTCTGATACTTCTAGTGTAAGCCTCTACTCTGGATAACTTGGTTAACATGCAGTCTGAACCCTAACAGGCCTGACACGCCACAAAAGAACCCTCTATCCTGCCAGCTACAAGGCCCTCCTCTGCCTACTGTGATGACTGCTGCTAGCTCCATTCTAACTCAGATGATTGAGATACAGCCATGGTGACTGATGCACTGGCTATATTTTTCTTGGCCAGGAGAATACATTATTTATGTTTTTGACAGGATGAGCACCACTGACTTTTTCCTGCTGTGTTTTAACACTTAGGATCTGGTTGCACAAACCTTATTTGAATCTTTCTTAGCATTACATGACTGTGTCCTTGAGACTGTTTCAACAAGGGCTACCTGTATTATATTTTAAATGTTTAATAGCCAGACTCATTTAATTTCTGAGAATTTTTTTTAACTTGTTAAAGATATTTTTGTACTAAGAGTTTATATGATTAAAATACTTTTATATGATTAAAATCTGGATAGTTACATTGTCTAGTGTTATGTTCTATGACTAGCAGAGTACATTTTCAAACTGAAAAGGTCATATGTTACTTTTCAAGGAAAGCTCCAGAGAGTGTATGGGGGTCTGTGTACCTTGGTATATTTGGGTGTGTTCAATAGTGAGTGTGCACATGGAATCTGGAGATCAATACCAAATAATTTCCTTTATTGTTTAATTCGTATTTTTTGTTTTTTTTTCAAAAACCAAAAACACTCAAGGTCTCTTATTGAACCAAAATGATACGTTATTTCGGCTAGAATGGCTAGCCAATAAATCCCAGGATTCATACTATACCTTTCCTCTCATCCCATGCTAGAGTTACACTTACACTGCCATACCTGGCTTTTCTGCAGGGAATCCAAAGTCTGGTCCTCAGGTTTTGACAGAAAGCAGTCTACAAACTAAGCCATCTCCTTAGTCCAATGAAAGCTCTTAACACAGAAAACCAAGATGCTAAAATAAGAAACCTAGTCAAAGAGTGTGGACCCCTGGAGGCAAATAGATCATCTTTTTTTTCCAGTATGGTAAATGTATTTGGTTAAAATGAATAAAGCCTGAGTCCTTCCAATGTAAACATTTGATAGGAGTAACTTGGAAAACAGACTTTTCTTCCATGCTTTTTCATATCCGATCTCATGACCCAGAACTACAATGCCTAGAAACTCTGAATCTGCCTCAGGAAACACTGACTACAGGGCAGCTTAAGTTTCCAAAGCCCATTTCTTCTCTTAAGGCTTATATACTCTCCGAATTAAGGTTCCACAGTACAGGAATAAACGTGAGATGTGGTGTGTGGGGATGTATACATATACCTTTCCTGTGAGCAGAAATGGGAAGCTTGGGGTGGTCATTTGGAAGCTGGCTGGTTGGTTTGGCATTATTTGATTTACCATTCTCTCAGATGGACTACATCCATCTGGACATGAATCTGAGCCTTCAGAGACTCGTGATGGCCTGCTGTTTCAAACCTACTTGTATCTGGGATGGTGGTATGTCAGTCAGCACCTCTCTCTCTCTCTCTCTCTCTCTCTCTCTCTCTCTCTCTCTCTCTCCCCCTCTGTTGCATGGCACCAGAGAGCTTTGCCATTATTGGGCCATAATCTCCATGCTGGCATTTTGTTGATACTAGTAATACTAGTTTTGTTGATAATAGTATACTAGTAATATATCCTTACTCCAGTAGCATATTAAACTAATTCATATGTCACTAGATTGACTTCAACTCTACAATTCTGAACAAATACACAGCACAGATATCTTTATGTCAGGCAGGCAGTCTGTGGTTATGCCAAGCTTTGGTCAATACCTGGAGAAGTCTGAAATCTCCTAATTAGAATAAATTGCCTAAATTAAAGAAGCATCAATCCACACTGGTACTAACAGCCTGACTTTTCCAAACAGGCTTTTTTTTTTTAATGTTATGGCCTCAATATAAGCCCATTTCTAATTATGGTTTTCATAATAAATAAGAAGATAAATGCTTCACTTATCTTTCTGGCAACTCTGGTTACACTCCTTAGCCTGGTAATGAGCAAGCCTGCACCTGTATGAGTAACTCGTGTATCACGTGACCTGCATGACATGGCACTGCATCACACATGTTGTGGGAATTTTGTAGTTATGCAAGCTACTCTCAACAACAAAAAGAGTTTAGTTGCTAAAGAGCTACAAGAAACTTCCATGCAGCTGTGAACCCAAAGCTTGAAATTAATTCAGAAATAAAACCTAGCTTCAAGCATAAATTCCATGGCACAGAGCACCCACTAGGTCACAGACATATATCCTTTCTAGCTGTCCCACTTTAAAGGTGGAAATCCTTAGTCTTTCACAGGCTTAATAACTTGCAGTTTCCTAGACTACGCTACAGCATAGGAGTTTATTTCCAAATTTGAGAGAACACTAAGCTGTCGCTGTATCACCTGTTGTAGAGGCTACTGACTTCTCTGGTCAGGCTTCCTTTGTGTTATTGAAGTCCACTAGCAGGGCAAGCCTAAAATGAACACTCCCTCTTTTCCATGTAAAAGCTAGGTGTCCATCTCTGAAATTGTCTCTATCCCAATAGTCCTGTACGTCTTAAGGATACATTGTGGTGGAAGTATACATCCATCTGGTCTAAAGTATTGTAGCTATCACAGGAGAGCAATATGCAGAATATAGCTATCTCTTCTAATGGGATAAAAATTACCCAAGACACTTGTTTTCATCCTTTAGAGTTTACAAATTTGTCCAAACTTTCAACTTGTGGAAGATTTTTCTCAGTTTGAATGTGTATAGTCCAACATGAGGCATGGCAAAATACTAAAAGGGACAAGATACATGCTTTCAGGAGAGAAAAGATAAACCTGTGTAGCTCAAGGTTTTGATTTACTTGATAGGCCCCAGAGTTGATCTCAAAACTTGACAAACTATTGGGCTGTCCCAGCCCTGAGAAATGTTAACTCAGAAGAAGTGATTCTTAAAGCAGCTTCGAAACCTCCCACTATCTAATATATCAGGGAGTATAGGAGAGACATTAGCTGAAAACAATATATAACTAATGTCAAATACATTATAGGCTCTGTGATGCCCTTTAGGAAAGTAGAGGAGAATCTCAAAAATAAGTTATGGCAGATTTGCATAGCCACAGAAATCATAGACATTTTGAGTCTGAAAGTGGGGATTCTTAAGAGGAACTGTACTTCTGGGTGTAGCAGTACACACAAGCCTTGAATTTGTGAGGTAGAGGCAAGAACTTCTTAGGCAATGTTGCAAAACCTTATCTTAAAAACCCAGGGTCTTCAGATGTAGTTCAGTGGCCAAATGTCTGTCATGACTCATATTTATGGACTAAGAATGTTTGGGTGATGTTCTCCTAGTTCTGTGTAGTTGTCTCCAGAGAGCTGGAGGTCACCAACCATTGATTTTGTTTTCCACTGGAGAGAATTCAAGACTTAATGTTCCATGCATCTGATTCAGTGTCTCTATCTTT